TGAATCCCCCGGGAATGGGGCCGCTGGCCCTCGACCGCTTTGGTGGACTGTGAGGCTCTTCAGGCTAAATCTCCATAGCCAACTTGATCGTGGTCTAGAGGATAGCATCAGGTACACAACCCCCAGCAGTGGCCCGTAAATTTTAACACCAAGAAGCATAGCATTTTTTGTCTTCCTCTCGGGCAATTGAGGAGCCCAAATTGTTAGAGATATGCCGAGCGTCAAGTTCGTCCCGTTGTACCCAGCCAGCTTTAAGCCCTACTGCAACCCGAACAGGCCCATCTCTGTCGTGTCCAGTCCACAGAAGTGGGAACAAACGGCAGGCTCGCAATCACAGGCTTGATCCAAGCACCCAGCTTTGCCGAGAGCATCCACCATGCAGCTGTAGTGTTCGTTTCCAGCTTCCAGCTCGTAATCCATCACCATCAAAAGGAAGCACGACCTCGAGCACAAGCCATGAGAAGCAGCAAATGGCTTGTTTCGTCGGGGCACACAGCTGCGATCTTCATTCTTCCCAGCAATTCCAAAATTTTGGAGCATGGACCCATAGCCAGTGAGGAGAGCATTCCACGAGATTAAAATTGGACTAGGCATCGAATCAAACTTCCAGGTTCCCATTCTGGGCATATGCCGAGAGAAGTGACGTCCACGAGACGAGATCTCGGAGGAAAGAGCTCATCCGTCTTGGAAAGATCCAGTATGCTGTTAGCATTGCGTTCCAAGAAGAAATGTCATGGCAAGGCATTAGTGCAACTGCTTCTTCAAGATGCCTGTATGCCGAGAGAATGATCGTGAATGAGACCCTACTCTCAAACGCACACCTTGCTTCTTCCAGATTCCCACTCTGCGATTCCACTGAGGCATCTCGCTGCTCCATTTCCTGGAACTCGTTTGGCCTGGATGAGATCGCCGTGCTGGACGGAATGCCATGCTGGCAGCATATTCCACCTGGAAGATGCTCGTAGAATATTCAATGGTCTCGCAGCGGCAGCGGTGCGGCTTCTCCCTTATATGCGACGAAGACTGCAAGTGGAGGCAAATAAGTCTTCGAAGCGATGCCGATGCTGGATTTGGATCGATTGAGCCTGGGCTTTTTTTTCTAGAGATTCACATCGAAGACCTCCTTGGCCTGGGCCAGCTACCCATTGTGCGAGTACGTGCAGAGGAGGATCGACCAGGAGTAGCCGTTCTTGGATCGAATGCCATCGAAGACCTAGCGTGCAATACCCAGGCATTTCCCACCAATGGAATGCATGAATTGATTGCCTCTGCCGCTGCGAGATTCCGGCACGATCTCACAAGATCCAAGAACCATCGCTCAATTGCATTGCCAGGATCTCGCGGTTGACATGAACAAGACGAGCGCAAGCTACAAAACAGGAAAGCAAAAGTAAAGTTTCCACTAGAAACTAAAAGGTTTTTAGTGCCTTAGAAACCATAGTGAAATTCCTGTGAATTTAGAGTGGTTTCTAGATCATTTTTAATCTTACAAATTCAATCAGTCATTAATCTGTTGATTCATGAGTGGCTTGAGCACTCCATGAGATCGTGGACACTTTTTATACACTTTTTGTTGCACTTTGATACTAGCAAATATTGGTATATATCAGTGTCTATAGTTAATGAATTATCCCTATTCAGAAAACAAGAGGATATATCTCATTGATGAGATCCTTGATCCACTGGAAAGAGCAAAAACCAATAGAACAACGTATGAAATACCTAGAACACTTTGTCTTTGTGATGAGTTGAATCCTCAAACAATGATTGAAGGCTATCATTCATCCATGCTCATAGAGTTTGCAAGTTATGTAGTTGAACTTTATGCTGGGATGGGTGATATTTATGGAGAAAAACTTTAACTGTAAAGAAATCCATCCTTACGAGCTTGTTTCAGTGGCAGATTGTAGATTTACATGTAATTTGTTTGAAATTGAGTATTCATAATAGTCTTCAAAAGAAACAAAGAAAATATCAAATACAATCCAAATGAGAAAAAATAAAAAACCCAATATAAGGTTGATATTGGCCTTGTTTAAGAAACTCGGATATATTCTTCATCTCTTCATGCATGTTCAAAAGAATATCCTACAAAGGCAATCACTGTCGTGAAATCTAAGCAATGTTGGAGAGCATTAAAAAAAAAGACTATCAAGGATAAAGATAATACAAGTTAAAGCAAAAAAATCATATCTAGAAGCCATCTTAAGTAGAGGTTTCTTGGATCATGAAGTAGTATATTTCCAACTCCTGATTCTTTATCGCCATAGTGAGCCAACCCTAAGCTGGAGCAAATAGTGAGAAGTTCCTAGCTCTTCTCAAGATCAAGGAACACTTTAAGCTTTTGAAACTTTTCACCATCCCAAAATTCATTGATGACTTGATCTAAATCTTTGTTTTTCCACCTTTCTCTAGCTCTCTAGATTGCCAAATTCATGACACCAAGTTGAGTTGCTTGTCAATAACTTGAGAACTTTTCACAAAAGTAGATATTGAAGAGCCATGCATGTTATCTAGATTTGTACAGGACAGTAGACAATGATCAGCTTGCATAATGATTAGTTCACGTTGAGCAGCAAAAAACCACCATCGTTCCACTTCTAGCACTCCTAACTCTAGAGCTTTCTTGTTAAGATCACTCCACGAATGTGGCACTTGTTGTTTTCTGTCCCAAGCATGGATTGCATTTGAGCAGGACAGCTTCTCTGAATGACAAGCTCCAAAGAGAATCTTCATCAGCTTGTCCTGAAAACCAGCAGACACACACTCCTCGTCACAAGCTTCTGCTATTCTAAAGCACCAATCCTTTATCTTGCATTGTCCTCACAAGCATTGTTCACCTTTTCTTCTGCTGTTGCTAGTAGAATTTCTTCTTCCACATGTTCTTCATGCTCTACTTGAAGGTCGTACATTTCATCTTCCAGATCAAAATCTTGAGAATTTCCAGTGATCCTGCTACCTTGGATATCCTAAAGACTATGCCGAAACAATGTCAACGGACTAATGAGCTTTCCCTTACACTTTCTTTAACGTCGCTGAAAAAAATTTCTGATGCAAAGTTTGCTCATTGTTGGCCATGCTCATGTTCTTGAACATGGTGACATGCTCGTCAGGATCACCAAATGTCACCGCAGACACCAGACTATTACGAGCCCCCGAACAGCGATTGCCGTGGCAGTTTCTCGGATGGTTTTGATCCGTCCTACCAGTCGCCACCCCGGCCGCTCGGGCGTCCCAGTCTCGGGCAGCAATCCGGCCTCGGACAACGCCCGTGGGGCCGCCTGGAAGCTGCCACTCGTCGGGAGCTGGCCAAGTTCTCGATTGGTCAATCCATCTATATGTTTTCTTCGTTTGTTTCTAGATCTTCTCGAAGAGCTTTATACCGTCTTTCCGAGAAACAGAGTCCCATGCTACGTGCCAGCGATTTCTTGTCTTCTTCGCGCTGGATTGTTAGCTCTGTGGAATCTTGGCCGAAGAGGCTTGATCTGGATGATCCCATCTTACGTGTTTCTTGTGCACTCGATCGAGTGCTATGGTGCAGCTCGAATCCGTGCAGCTACTTTGCAGCCGATCCATCCAACCAGCCGCCGCTGCCAGCGACATTGATCCTCCTACGCGCTACGAGCTCACGCCCTTCGATGGCGTGATGAGAATCGCTCTCTACCAGAAGAGGATCCTCTTCTTCGAGCGCGGCGATTCTAGGATGGATTTCGCGGCGGTGGTGGCAGCGCTCGAGGAGAGCTTGCGATGGGTGCTGGTGAGTTTCCGGCCGCTGTGTGGGCGTATGGTGGTCGATCAAGATCTTAGTAGCGGCCTCTGGATCGATTGCTCGGGCGAGACGAGCGTCCAGTTTGCAGAGGCACAGACGGCTGCGCGGCTGGAGGATCTGGGCGATTTCGAGCCCAGCGAGTTTTGCGACTCGCTGGTTGAGATTGGATGCTCTCCAAAGTACCCGTGGGATCCAAAGCTGCCATTGCTCTTTGTCCAGGTAAATGTCTATCATTTCCTTTGTGACCATCTTGATCTTGCTCACCAAGTTCCACGTCTATATAGGTGACGAGATTTGGCTGTGGAGGCATAAGCCTCGGAATCGCGTTTAGCCACCAAACCATGGACGGCGTGAGCGCCTGGAACTTCATGAAGTCGTGGGCCGAGCGCGCCAGGAGCAGAGGAACCTCACCGCTCCCGCGAGTTTCTTGCTATGCATACAAGCCTCCCGAGCTCTTGGAGCAGCAACTAGAAGAAGCGGCGCGAATGGTCGGCCTCGCACTTGGCATTGCCACCAAGAACACCATCAAGCCAAAGCTCGGTGTCAAGAAATTCAAAGCCACACGAGAAGTCATCCAAGCCTTGAAAACCTCTCTCTCGAGCTTCAGCTCCTTCGAGCTCGTGTGCGCGGACTACTGGCGGAGGACGGTGGCGGCGGCGGTGCAGGCGGGATTTCTCGACAACGCCGACGATTGCTACTTCGCGATCCTGGTCAACTGCCGGGGAAGGATCGCATCCATGCCGGACTCCTACTTTGGAAACGCGATCACCGGCACCCGAGTCCGCGCCAAAATTTGCGAGCTCCTTGGTGGTGGGGGGATTTGCAACGCTGCTCAGGTGATCCACGAAGGGATTGCCGGACTGCGCGACGTCGAGGGATCCGTGCTGGTGATCAACAAGTTTGTGGAAGAGCTGGCGAGGAATGGTGCCGAGATTCCAGCGCACAAGCCGGGGCAGTCGGTGCTGGTGGTGAGCTCACCGCGCCACCCCATTTTCGAGTGTGACTTTGGATTTGGGAGGCCGGTCGGGGTGACTTTCGGGACGAACGACCTGGACGATTCCAAGCTCTACTTGTTCCCGGCCGCGGATGGGAATGGCATGGACGTGACAGTTTGTATGAGAGTCGAGGCGCTCGACAAGTTCGTGTGAGCCTTAGCTCTGCACATTCTTCTTGTGCTCGCAATGCGCGAGCTCTTTTCTCAGTTGTCCATCGATTCTTCGTTTGGGTTGGAGCTTGGATTTGTTTCGCCAATAATTCTTCGTGATCTCTTTCTTTCCATTGCGAAGACTTCGAAAATTTGAACCTTCGCGCCTTGAGGGGTCGGGTGCCCGAGGTCACCTGACCCGCCAGTCTCACCGGATTGGACATCCAGCATCCAAGGTCGGGCTGCGATCCAGCGTATTGGATATGTACACCTCCATTGGCACTATTTTAGAGGTAACAAGGATAACAGGCACTCAAACGATTCCCATCTGCTTTAGTTATCTTGGCGCGCTCAGAAGATCTACTAAGAGGAGCATAAAGCAGAAAAAGTTTTCTCCAGTAACGAGGACGTATCGTCAGTCAAGTTTCGACATTGCTCAGCAATGAGTCAGCATTGATGTAAACTTTGTTACCAACCGAAAAAAAAAAGAAAATTCTTGGCAAACGCACCTTGATATTTGCGTATTCATGTTGCTCGGCAAAGAGATCCCTGTTCTAAGCAGGCGGCCATCGGTAAAGTACGCTCTGTTACGCCGGCAAGCATGATGAACTCCCGATTCCGGATGGGAGGCTTTCCAGGCACAACTCTCACACGTCCGCCGTTGGCAGCATCAGTTTTCCAAGCCTCACACAATATATCACGTATCCAGTCACCATTCCCTCTGTGTTCTACAGAAAATGAGTAGACCATTGTATTGAAAGCCAAAGTCACTGACCCGATCGATCATATAGGAACGATAATTTCTTTCTCGGACACTCGGTTTACTTGGACTATCAGTGTGGCCTCCAAGACCTCTGGTGGCCATCTAAAGAACAGAGAAATAAAGAAGAAGAAAGAAGAATTGAGAGTTGCAAACAATCAACTAGATAACTTACTGGATCACATTTTTAATCTGGCCGGGTAGTGAGAGAGACCCTGGATTCTCCGAGAATCTTCCAGGTGGAATATGCCCATTCCAAGGCTCCTGAAAGGGATTCCCTGAAAGATTCCCGAACTGGGCAAATGCAGACAGGAGCGTGTTCCAGGAGATCAAACTCGTTGCCGGCGCGATCTGGAAGAAGCGTTTGGCATTCAGATGGGATCGTGCTTGCATCAAAGACCTCCTTGGTACCAATTCTGCGAGTACGCGCAGAGGAGAATCGACCAGGAGTAGCAGTTCTTGGATCGAATGCCATGAAAGACCTGGCGCCCGATACCCACACTCCCGCATGTCCCGCCAACGCAATGCACGAATGGATCGCCTCCGCCGCCGCGAGATCGCGGCACGATCTCACAAGATCCAAGAACCATCGCTCGATTGCATTGCCAGGATCTCGCGGTTGACACGAAGACTTAAGTTCCATCACAGTACCCAGACAACAAAACAGGAAAGTAAAAGTAAAGCTCCGAGAAGAGATAAAGCTGGAGGAAGTCGGACATATCTGGCTTCCCGGCTTCTCCAAGTAGTTGACGTCGGTGTAGAGCGCCTTCTCGTCAAGCATCCGCTTCACCCACAGGCCGAGCGGCCGCCCCTCCTCCTCCATCGCCGCCACAAACAGCTCGTAGGCCTCCTTGTCGCAAGCAAATTCATCGTGAGTTCAGGGACCACAGTGCCGAAACTCGGCCGTTTGCCGCTGGTAGGCCTCGTCTTCCACCTGACCCTCCTTCGTCTTGTCCCGATTTTTAGGGTTCCTCACATCGCGGATTGCTGTTTAGGGAGGTGGGAATCTTTGACCGTTCTGTGGATAGATTTCTTGGTCCTGGGCCCCGTTGCATGGATAGAGTGGGGAGCTTCGATTCCAAGCAAGGCGGTAAGGAAAATGGGGAGAATTGCGCTGGATTGGATGCCCAGGAGGCTTTGTCCAGCGGGCTCGAGCTAGTGGCGAGCTGATGGTTTCTCGCTCCCCCACTGCTGCTGGAGGCGTAGCCACCCAAGAGTGTGGAGGATCCGGCCATGGATTCCAGCAAACTCAAAGCCATGAACTTCCAGCTCGCGCTCTACATCGCCATGGCTCACGCGGGATTGCTGCTGCTCATCCTCACTCTCTACGGCCTGGGACTGCTGCTCAAGGATTTCTGGAAGCCGATCCAGTGGGCCGTGCTGTGCTCCATTACGCTGCGAGAGATCCAGGGAAGTCTAGTGCGCTTCTGGGAGGCTCCACTCCGCCAGGGACTCATCCAAACGCTGCTCGCCATCCCGCTCGCGGTTTGCAAGGGTCTAGCTGGAACAATCGAGGATTTGCGAGCGACCATCCTCTGGATCCTGGCGAGGCACGAGGCCTTCCCTCTCAAGGTTGGATTCTCCAAGCTCCTTCAGTGGTTGCTAGCTTTCGCGGTGGTAACTCTCGGCTATGACAAGCTCGGCGTCGCGTCGCTGGCCACGGCCATCGCCACTGGCCTGGCTGCCTACGCTGGAGCTTCCAGGCTTGGAGCTTTCGCGCCGCCACCATCGCCACCATCCTCGCCACCTTCTTCGGTGGCCATGGACGTGAAGAGATCATCCAGGCAGCAAAGAACTGTGACGAGGAAGTGGCTTGGCTGGGCGTCCTGGCCGATCATCCGGGCCTCGAGAGCTCTTAACAGGCACGCCACGGCATTCCTGGCGGCCAGGCTTCCAACCATCGTGGCAATCGGGCTTATCATGCTCATGATCCTCGTCTCCGTGGCCGGGCTGGTCCTCTTCTCCTACAAGGCCGGCCTCGAGGCCCGGGACGCGGCGGTGGCGCTCAAGATCCACGTACAGCGCCACAACTACACGGAGATGGTCGGCCTCCGCCAGTGGCTCGAGCACAGCAACGTGACGGTGGCGATTGAGCAGCACTCCTCCGCAGCCTACGAGGCGGTGTCCCAGCACATCGATGCCTTCGGCGTCCAGTACAACCTCACCGAGTTCACGGACGCCGGGAAGGAGTTCCTCGTCAACTTTGCTCGCGGACGCCGCCAGGCGAGCGGCGCCGCTACTATCGCCACCGCCAACGTTACCACCACCACCACCTCCTCGCATCCAGTGCTCATCCGGCTCCACCGTGCCAGGAGCTTGCTCCGGGACTACGATCTCAAGGCACTCTACTCGGAGCTGGAGGCCGTGTTCTCGCTGCTGCTCGACCACCTCCAGCTCAAGCCCGAGGACGTGAGAGATCGGATGAAGCAAGTGAGCGAGACTGGGGCGGAGATCGGCAAGAGAGTCCTCCTCGGCGGCTCTCACGTCGTCTATGGTGGAACCTCCATCGCCATGGCCGTGGGGAGCTCCATCGCTTCCGGTGCCGCGGGGATCTTCCACTTTCTCACGCAGGCCGCGGTGTTCTTCTCGCTGCTCTACTATCTCATCACGTCCCAGTCGGGCGGGGTGGTGGAACAGGTGCTCGGGATGATTCCACTCTCGGAGACTGCGCGGATACGATCGGCCACCGTGCTCAACCGCGCTGTGAGCAGCGTTCTCCTGGCCACCGTCAAGTCGGCCTTCTACCAGGCCGCATTTACGTGGTTGCTCTTCCGGGCTTTCGGCATCCATTTTCTCTACGTGTCGACGCTCCTGGCGATCGTCACCGCGGTGCTGCCGGTGTTTCCGCTGGGCGTTGCTTCCATCCCGGCGGCTGCGCAGCTCGTCGTACAGGGTGACTACCTTGCCGCGGTGGTGCTCGGAGTTGTTCATTGTCTGGTGCTTGACTTTGGCAACCGGGCGATACAGGATGAGATCCCGGGACACAATGCTTACTTGACGGGGCTCAGCATTGCTGGCGGGATGGCACTCTTCTCTCCAGCGCTCGAGGTAATGGTTTGCTTTACTCTTTCTCCCTTTGTTTTTTCTCATAGTTTTTGTCTTGGTTTTGGCCTTGCAGGGGGCGATCATGGGGCCGCTCTTGATGACTGTTCTCACTGCTCTCAAGAATCTGTACTGCGAGTTTATCCTCCACGCGGAAAGAGTCGCTTTGTAAATCTCGGACGCTTGCTCTTCAGCTGAATTAGAACCCATTTCTACGTGCCGCGAAGGAGATAAGTTTTCAATTTTTCAAGTCTTCGCAATGGAGAGAGATCTCCTCAAGATCATGAAGAAAAAACACTTTTTTGGTGATGAAACACTAGTTCAAACGAACAATACCGAGCAAAAGACGAATTTCGAGACTCACGCGAACTTGTCGAGTGCCTCGACTCTCATACAAACTGTCACGTCCACGCCATTTTCATCCGCGGGCGGGAACAAGTAGAGCATGAATTCGTTCAGGTCATTCGTCCCGAAAGTCACCCCGACCGGCCCAAAGTCACACTCGAACATGGGGTCCCGGGCTTGCGCGCCATTATTCTTCTTTTGGTGAACTCCACGATAAGTTTCTTCGAAGAAAACAATGCCGGAAACGCTGCGGCTGCTTTGATGGCACGGTTGGCTCCTCAGTGCAAGGTCTGCTAGGGACTTGCTTTGTCCCAAGGATTGTCACTCGTGCATGCGCAGGCTCTAAGGGACGGGAAATGGAAAGAAATGGAAGCGAAGTTCTTCACTCCTGGTGACATCATAGCCATAAAGCTTGGAGACATCATCCCTGCACATCCTCGCCTGCTCGAAGGAGACTCCTTGAAGATTGATCAGGTTTTGGTCGCTTACGTGAAAGTTGCGATTATCCCCTGACGATTTGTTTCACTGTGATTAGTCTGCTTTAACTGGCGAGTCAAATTTTCAAAGTCTTCGCAAGGGAAACAAAGAGATCATGAAGAATTATTGGCGAAACAAATCCAACCTCCAGCCCAAACGAAGAATTGATCGACAACTGAGAAAAAACAATCAAGAGCTCGCGCATTGCGAGCACAAGAAGATGAAGAGCTGAGACTCACACGAACTTGTCGAGCGCCTCGACTCTCATACAAACTGTCACGTCCATGCCATTCCCATCCGCGGCCGGGAACAAGTAGAGCTTGGAATCGTTCAGGTCGTTCGTCCCGAAAGTCACCCCGACCGGCCTCCCAAATCCAAAGTCACACTCGAAAATGGGGTGGCGCGGCGAGCTCACCACCAGCACCGACTGCCCCGGCTTGTGCGGTGGAATCTCGGCACCATTCCTCGCCAGCTCTTCCACAAACTTGTTGATCACCAGCACGGATCCCTCGACGTCGCGCAGTCCGGCAATCCCTTCGTGGATCGCCCGAGCAGCGTTGCAAATCCCCCCACCACCAAGGAGCTCGCAAACATTGGCGCGGACTCGGGTGCCGGTGATCGCGTTTCCAAAGTAGGAGTCCGGCATGGATGCGATCCTTCCCCGGCAGTTGACCAGGATCACGAAGTAGCATTCGTCGGCGTTGAGAATCCCCGCCTCCACCGCCGACGCCACCATCCTCCGCCAGTAGTCCGCGCACACGAGCTCGAAGGTGCTGAAGCTCGGGAGAGAGGTCTTCAAGGCTCGGATGGCTTCTCGTGTGGCTTTGAATTTCTTGACGCCGAGCTTTGGCTTGATGGTGTTCTTGGTGGCCATGCCGAGTGCGAAGCCGCCCATTCGCGCCGCTTCTTCTAGTTGCCGCTCCGAGAGCATGGGAGACTTGTATGCATAGCAAGAAACTCGCGGGAGCGGTGAGGTTCCTCCGCTCCTCGCGCGCTCGGCCCACGACTTCATGAAGTTCCAGGCGCTCACGCCGTCCATGGTTTGGTGGCTAAACGCGATTCCAAGGCTTATGCCTCCACAGCCAAATCTCGTCACCTATATAGACGTGGAACTCAAGATCTCCACGAAGAAAGAAGGAAGAAGATGATAGAACATTTACCTGGACGAAGAGCAATGGCAGCTTTGGATCCCACGGGTACTTTGGAGAGCATCCAATCTCCACCAGCGAGTCGCAAAACTCGCTGGGCTCGAAGCCGCCCAGATCCTCCAGCCGCGCAGCCGTCTGTGCCTCTGCAAACCGGACGCTCGTCTCGCCCGAGCAATCGATCCAGAGGCCGCTACTAAGATCTTGATCGACCACCATGCGGCCACACAGCGGCCGGAAACTCACCAGCACCCATCGCAAGCTCTCCTCGAGCGCCGTCACCAGCGCCGCGAAATCCATCCTAGAATCGCCGCGCTCGAAGAAGAGTATCCTCTTCTGGTAGAGAGCGATTCTCATCATGCCATCGAAGGGCGTGAGCTCGTAGCGCGTAGGAGGATCAATGTCGCTGGCAGCAGCGGCTGGTTGGATGAACCGGCTGCGAAGGAGCTGCACGGATTCGAGCTGCACCATCGCTCGATCGAGTGCACAAGAAACACGAAAGATGGGATTATCCAGGTCTAGCTTTTTCTCACATCTCGCCAGCAGGGATTCCACAAAGCTAACAGTACGCCGCGAAGAAGACAAGAAATCGCTGGCACGTAGCATGGGAGTCTATTTCTTGGGAAGACGATACAAAGCTCTTCGGGAAGATCTAGAAACAAACGAACATTCTATATAGATGGATTGACCAATCAAGAACTTGGCTAGCTCCCAACGAGTGGCGGCTTCCAGGCGGCCACACCACGAGCGTTGTCGGAGGCCGGGTTGCTGCCCGAGGCTGGGACGTGGTGCCTGGCCCGAGCGGCCGGGGGTGGCGACTGGTAGGACGGATCAAACCCATCCGAGTAGCCGCCGCGGCGATCGCCGTTCGGGGGCTCGTAGTAGTCGGCACTGGTGTCCGCGGTCATGGTCTCCGACCTCTGGAGCTGAGAGCTTGCTGACGATCGAGGAGCTGACCACGGATGATCATGATGAGCAAGCGATGGTAGTGGAGCTGGTGCTCCAGTAGCTCCGCGAGCCGAAGGTGGAACTTCGGGATGGGACTTAGCATCATCAAAAAGAAAATGGACTAAGCCACGATCGTCAAGATTCTGATGACGATCACCATCTTGGATGGACGATTGAGTGGCCGTGGTAGGCGCGGCGATCAAGGAGAGGAGCAAGAGAGAGGCCATCAAAACGCTCGAAGAAGCCATTGGAGCTGGATGAAGAAGACGATGGAAGCTTTGCAAGAGACCATGAAAACTCTTATAGCGCTTGAGCAACAAGAACGCAGAGGAATGAATGAGGAAGAAAGCGACGCGGCGCGACGCGACGACCAATCTCGCTCAGAGCATCTGTACAATGGAATGGGATGGAAGAAATCGCGTCACTCACAGCGCAGCACCGCAGCCAAAGAAGAAAGCATATCTCGGTCGAGCGCAATTAAATACCACATGCTTAGGTTAAAGGATGTACCGCGCGCATTTCTTCCAATTTATCAAATCTCGGGTTGTCCGAGAAACGCCCCGAGGCACGCAGCACGCTCATTCCTGACATCACGCTCGGACAAGACATTTCCAACAGCCCTCCCCTGTTTTTCGTTTTTCGGACAAAATTAGGGCTCCTCGGCAAGATTAGGGTTCTTCCGGAAATCGCGGGAAACTCTGTATTTAGGGTTCTTCAAACTACGTCTTTGCCGCTTCCATGGCATTGCCGATGCGCTTGAGCCCGTCGCCAATGTCGGTGAGCGCGGCGATGAAGCTCTGGCCGAGGCGGACGTGCGCCTCTAGCCGCGCCCTGTCCTGCTCCAGCAGGTGCTGCTCAATCTGGAGCCGCCGCTCGTCCAGCTTGAGCTGCTTCTTGGCCAGCGCCACGCTCGTCGCGTGCCGCGCGTTCCGCCCGCTCTCCGCGTCCACCAGCAGCTGCACCACCCGGCTGTTGTTCTTGTGCATGATTAGTCCCAGGACCTCGGCCCTGGTGGAGGGGGAGGAGCTCGCACCGCCGCCACCATTCACCGGGCTCGTGGAGAAGCGCCGCTTCTTCACCCCGGGAACGTCGTCCAGCCCGTCCGAGTCGGCTCCATTCTTGGATCCTGGCACAAAAGCATCGCAAGTGAGTGAGTTCGCTCGATCGAAACTCTCGAAAACGGAAGAGATGCAAGCACTTCCCCTCCCGAGAGAGACTCCAAGTCCCCATCTCTTCCAGAAAGCTAGCGTGAGATCAAACGATGCAATGCAAAATGCAGGGAGAAAGATGACGCTAGAGGGCGTCGAGAAAGAACTTCCCGGGAAGGAAGAGCTCACTCCAAGTTCCCATCTCGCCCAGAAAGCTAGCGTGAGACCAAACGATGCAATGCAATGGAATGCAAGGAGGAAGAACAAGTTACCATCGTAGAGGGCGTGCGTCTGGAGAGAACTTCCCAGGAAGGAAGACTCCAATTCCCTTCCAGAAAGCTAGCGTGAGATCAAACCAAGAGAACGATGCAATGCGATGCAAGGAGGAAGATCAAGTTACCATCGTAGAGGGCGTCGGGGAGAGCGAGCGAGGTGGGGACGCAAATCCGGCTCTCGGCGGCCCTGTGCGCCTCGGACTTGGCGTGGGTGTTGAGCGCGCTCATCTGGATGGTGCTACACCCCTCCCGCGCGTACACATTGTCCATGTTGTAGTACGTGCACCACGTACACTTGAGCCGGAGCTCGCCCTCGCTGTTCTTGATGGGATACACCCACTTGTGCTTGGCCTTCCACTCCTGCCTCCACACCCTTCGCAGCTCCTTCTTCTTCGTCGACAATCCCCTCTCCCCTGACGATCCTGGCCTGGAGAATTCCACTACTCCTCCTCCCTCGTCGCTATTGTGATCCTCCTCTACCTCTGGATCGGCGGTGGCGTGCAAATCCCCGAGCTGGATGCGCGAGCTCGTTGCTTGCTCGTCCCAGGCATTGGTCATCGCTCGGCCAGAAGGAAATCCCGGATCCTGCCACGAGGAATCATCGTCAGGGCGCCGAGATTTCGATAGAACAGGCGAGAAAGAAGAGGAATTCCCAAACCCTAGCTCAAGAAAGAAAGAACACGCACCGGTTGTGGCTCATGCCGCTGCCAGCGCCGCCACTCCCGCCGCGCTCACTCCTCCAGCGATGGCGCTAAAATCGATCGATCGTCTAGAATGCCACAAGAGCGATTACTTGGCCTATCTCCTTTTATCCGGTTTGAAAGTTTGTCATCACCATTTGAGCGCTTCTTCTTCTTCGCCTTCTTCCAAGACGAATTCCAAGAGCAAAGAAAAGAAAAAAATGTAAACCAAGCGAGCGAGCAAGCGAGCAAGCAGAGCCTACCACTGTCCGGTTCGATCAATCGCCTCGACTTATTCTCTTGTCTCTCATTCTCTTCTCTCTTCTTATTCGAGCAGCGCAGCAGTCTTTGCAAAATCTCTCCCAGGTTGTTCTTCGCGAGAATTTCTTTCTTCTGGTTTTACTTCGCTGCTTCCAGCGCCGCGGCACCGGAGATAATCTCGATAAGCTCTGTCGTGATGGATGCTTGACGAGTTCTAGAGAAGTAAAAAAATGGAAGCTTAGAGAACCGATCGAAGCTTTTCCTGATCTCATACCTGTTGTATTTGAGCGTGAGCTTCTGGAGCATATCGGATGCGTTCTTGCTGGAGTTGTCCATGGCCGTCATGCGAGAGCTCTCCTCACTGGAGGCATTCTCCAACAGAGCGTTGAAAAGCACCTAAAGAACACTTTGGTGAGAAAGACAAACCAGAAAGAACGTGAAGGCTTTTTCATACCGCAGCAAATTGGAACTCGCTAAGGTTTTGCAAAGCCTCTTCCTTGCTGTCTGGCCCTTCGATTTCGTAAAGATCTAGCTCGGAAGGTGTACCGGTCTCCGATGTTTTGATGGACTGAAGATCAAACCAAGTGAGCACGGAAATCGTAAATTATACAACTTAACTCCCGGCGCCAAGATCGTGGTCACACTCGGGTAGAACTTCACCATGGAGGCGAACTTGTTGAATATCACCTTGATCGCATCGTACTCCACATTCTTCAAGATCTCGTCCGCCATCACGGAGACCTGTAAAGCCCATAAAAATGCGAGGACACGCCTCTAGTAAACCTGCGAGGACAACCAACCTGGGTGAAGTTTAGCGGGTACTTTACTAGCTCCGTGATATTTAGTGAGATGTATTGCTTCGAGTCACGCTGGATCTGGACCTTCCCCTTTTCCCCGAGAACAACAAACTTCGCGTCCTCGCCTGCAAAAAGACGACCAACTAAGGCCTGTAAACACAGGAAGAAAAGAGTTCTCACCCCCATTGTTTTTGGCGACTTTGAGCATAGCTTTGCCAAACCGAACAACGGAAGAATTGATACCACCGCAAAGACCTCTGTCAGACGTGATGCACAGAAGAACAGTTTTTTTGGGGAACGTATCTGCGATGAAAACAAAAGAACAAGTAAAGAAAGAAAGTAGCCGAAGGAAAAAGATGAGCATACCTGGAGCATCACCCAGCAAAGCTGTGAATGGCTGCCACACTCCACGCGATTTCTCTGCCCTGGCTTGCACTTGCCTCAACTTAGATGAAGCAACCATCTTCATCGCCTTTGTGATCTTCTGAATACTCTGGACACTCTTCATTCGGTTTCGTACTGACCAAAGAAAAGAAAAATTCATGGGCAACATGATCGAGAGAACAAAAAAATGCTAGACTTACAAACTTGAGTCGAAGCAAATCGAGCACCAGGGGGAGCAATGTCCCTGAGAGAAAAAGAAGCTCAAAACCATAAAAAAGGGGGCTGAAATTTCTCTCTCGCGAAAATGTACATAGCTCGAGCTTACCCCGGCGCGATCGCCATGCTCGATGAAGCTGGAGTAGCATTCGCGCCTGTGATTGATCCCCGCAAAAGGTCCGCCAAGCGAATCCCTGCTCGCCGGGCGCTTCGAGACGCCATCGCTAGAAAACCTAGGCCCTACTAGAGATGCTGTGTAATATTCTCCCATTAAATACAAAATTGGCCTATGGTACATTGGCTATGTGTGAAATGGCTTTGTGGCGACGAAGAGCCTCTCTTTGCCGAGAACTCCTCCTTCCGTGGTTAAAACCTCGGTCGTCCACTGCAATGCGTATGCGATCTTGGAAATCTTTTCCACCATCTTGGTCGTGTCGCGGACGAGAATTGTGCCTTGTGGCCGGAGAATTCGATCCATCTCCAGCATCACGTCCACCAAGCTACAGCTGAAATCCAGGAAAGAAAAATTGAGATCCAGGAAGTGCAGAAAAAACGTTTTTTCTTCACCTCGTAGACGCTTGTGTTGTGAAAGATTGCATGTTTGAGACGTGAATGAAGTCGTAAGTTCGTGGATACGTCGAGAATGCTTCACACCTGCGAGGAAGTAAAATGAGAAAGAGAAAACTTAGCTGAGGATCGCGTACCAGTCGTGTAGAACTCCAATGAGACCTCTGTCGAAGATCACGGGTAGAGTGTTCGGAGCAGTGACTGGAACGACGTTCATGACCCACACCGGATCGTGGTAAAGAGCAGCAGCAAAGCCTCCATAGCCCGCATTCATGTCTAAGATGTTCCTGTAGCGAGGAGAGCCAAGCTTGAGCAGCACCACTTCCTTGTAGTGTCTAACTCTCTGGCTCCACCTTCGCGAGTCTCTCTCGAAGACGCTGGCCTCTCCAAACTTGTGAAACCTTCTTGGCGTCTCCTGCAATCGCTTCGGCCACTCCGGAAGCTTTCCGCCGGCTCGCGAATCGCTTGGTCTCGAGTCGGGAAGTCTCGACAAACACTTGTCTAAAGGAGAATACCTGCGGAGTGAAAAAACAAGACAAGTAGTTCATGTCAAGCTTTACCATGAATTGTCAAGAAAAAGCTCTTACCATGCGGCATTTGGATCGTGGTCTGTGTCACAGAGTGCCGGTTCTTCGTCTTCTCGGTCCACGTAACACGTATGGTTGAGTGCTTTTTGCCAGATTGCTATGTTGTTTTCTACAGCCACCTGCGTGTAACACATCCTCTCGATCAGCTCTTGAAGCTCCTGCCATTCTGCCTCTTGCTTCTTCCAGCCGACTGGAGGTCCAGATAGCACGAAAAAACCACCAGGTCGCAAGAGGCGATCCATCTCGATCATGTAAGATCCATCTAGAAACAAAAAAAAAAAAAAAACGCACCACCATTATCAGCTGGAAAAATGAAGCAAGTGTCTTACTGTAGGCGCTGAAGTGGATCAAGCAGCGAGAGCAATGCACCAAATCGTAGGAGAACGCAGGAAAAGGTAACTTTTGAGTTCCCAGCATTGCAACGAAGGCAGGAATTCCTCGTTCTAAAGCAAACTGGATCTGTGCTTTGTGTGAGTCTCTCGGAGCAAAAGACATCGTAAGCACATCCTTGCGAAGCATGTAAGCACCAAAGCTCGCAACCTGGCAAAGAAGAACGTCGATGCATTTAGAAATGGCGTAAAACTTCTTCTACTACTCACTCCACAGCCGGCGTCCAGTGCTGTTCGAATCTGTCCGTCACTCAGAGGGATGTACTGCTCCAGCTTCTCAATGTACTGCCAGGCACCCTCTGGAAACATTGTGCCGCCACCTGGGAAGATAAAATACTCGCCCTCCTTCTTCATCCAGCCTTGATGGCCTTTTCTTTCTGCGATTTTCCCGTAAGGCATGTTGCTGTACCACACCTTCATTCAAGACGTGAAAGACTTCAGAAGCGTTAAGCAATGTAAAATCAATGCGAACTTCCAAGGAGCAAAGATGAAAACTTCTTGAAACACAAGAAAAATGCTCTTGAAACTGTCTTCAAAGAAAGGATTTACGTAAACTTGCAGTGCGAAACACGAAGAACTCCACCCAACGTACAAGATCATTCCATGAAGAACAAAAAAAAAAACACCTGGATCTTTAGAAGCGTTAGCAAATGCAAAATCAATGAGAACTTGCAAGGAATTGGGACACAACATTTTTTTTATAGGAACTGGCTTTCACGAAAGAATTTTCGTAAAGATGCAAAGCGAAAGCATGATCTCTAAACACAGAAAAAAAACTACACGAAGAACTTACAAGATCATACTATACAAACAGGAAGAACAAACAAAACCACCTGGATCTATCCATGCATGGAAGAAGGATAGAAAGGTAAAACAAAGGAGTTGATTGGAGTAGTACCTTATTTAAGCTATCTGGCCATGGAACTGGTACCTTATAACCCCGAGGCGATGGAATGCGACAAAGAAGCCTCTCATTCTCTGGCGGACAATGCCTCTCCCTGTAGCGATTTCTCTCCCGGCTGATCTGCGAGGACCTCTTTGGATCCTGGCAAGGCATGTAATCCGCCAGGCCAGGAGCGCACAATTCCACTCGCTGGCCCTTCTCAATCAGCTTGACGAGCCTCTGCCTGCCGCTGGGACGAATCTCCATCGCCAGAGGCGAATCGAGAGACTTTAGACCTGATGCCGCCATGGAATCCCCCAGGGGAGTGAAGAGGAGGAGGAAGAAGATGAAAACCCCAGCGAACAAGAACACCATCACCATATCCAGGAGCTTCCATTGCCGTCCACCGGCGCTGCGCTGCTTTGGAGGGGATGGAATGCTCATACCTAGCGGCTGGATTGGATCAGGCGTGGATTTCACCGCTTCCCCTGGCCAGCATTCGAATCCGGAGCCTCGAGTGTGACATAGATTCTAGCTCTAGGAGCCGTGCGATGCGAGTCCATGTCCAACGGCTCAGATAGACTGCCCGCGGAAGAGAATCGAGCCGTGGAAAAGAGCGCGGGAATTTTGCCTGGTGAAAGCCCTAATGGCGGAGGAGCTCGGTGAGGAGGCGGCGGCAGCGTCGCCCCAGTGGCTACAAGATTATCAGGTATGCGCGAGCTGTGCGTAAGGCGTTCTTAGTGATTCTTTGTTTCAGGGTCCCGATATGATCGTTCTATCTCCGTCTCCTTCTCCATCGCCGGAACGAGACATTGGGAATGAATCTAAGAGGAAAAGAGTTGCGCTTTCCGATTCCGACGAAGACGAGCAAGAAATATGTGAAGATGCCGCGACAGTAGAGGTATGGACTGATGTTCTGCGTTTTTTTTCATCAAGAGAAAGTTTTTTAGAAAGAAGAGGACGAGTCATGTCACAAACGAGACATAGTTAATGGATCTAAGAGGAAAAGAGTTGAGCTTTCTGATTCCGACGAAGACGAGCATAAGCTAGAAATATGTGAAGATGCCGCGACAGAAGAGGTATGGACTGATGTTCTTCATTTTTTTCATCAGAAGAAAGTTTTTTTAGAAAGAAGAGGATGAGTCATGTCACAAGAAGGAGGAAAATGGGGAAGAGCTAGCTGCCGACGACTCACACAAGCCTGAGAGCAGTAACAAAAAAACTAAACCAAAGGTATGGTTTTTCCTTCTTATCGGGACAGAAGTTCATCTCTTCATGTTTTATAGATGGCTTCCTCATTGCCCCTTGTCTTTCCCGAGAAGATTTCACGGAGTAAGGTACGTAAGCATTGTTTTCGTCTACGCAGCTAATGTATGTTAGAGTTGCAGGTGCTTCTAGAATGTGAAGGAGACGACCTGGACGTGAGCGGGGACATTGGAGCAGTGGGACGAGTTTCCGTCTGTGAAACGGACAACTCGAAAGTTTTGCTTGATCTCAAAGGTAAGCAAGGTGTGTCTAATTTAAGAGCTGACACAACGAAAAGCTTCTTTGCAGGCACTATTTACAGGACCAACATTGTTGCATCGAACACGTTCTTTTTGGTACAAACACTTTTCCACGTTTACGCCTCTAACAACAGATCTTTCAGGTTAACATCGGGCCTTCTGAAGCAAAGGTATCACATACAATTTTCCTGCATCTGTATAACTAGATGTTTTTTTATTACAGGTAGAAGCCTTAATGAACGACTTTGTGCAGTTGCTGCCCGATGCAGGCAACAAAAATGTTGAAAATATGATTGAAGGTAATCGTCAGTTTTTAAAGAAAAGTATCAAGTCATGTTTCTTGAATTGCCCAGGTACCTTGGAAGGAATTACCTTCGACTCAGAAGATGAGGGCATGGATGTTGCAGCAGCTTCTGCTGCAGCACTTAAAAAAGTGGAAGCCGATACAAAGGAAAAGACCGGCAAGGTGAGTAATTGTGTACGATTCAACATCCACTCATGCACTTCTTTACAGGCTTCCAAAATCGTGAAGAGAGCGGCAAAACCAAAAGACAACAAGCCAAAGGTACGATTATGACTTCGTTATGCTATGCGTAAACAACGTTTTCTCTATGCAGACAGCCAAGAAGCCTGCTAAGCGCAGCGGTGCAAAGGCAACCAAAAGAGCGACCAAAAAGTCGAAATAGCTAGACGCTCAAAGGCAGGATTCGCATTAATTATAGGTAGGTGGAGCGGTGGTTCATACTCTATAGTAGTACGGCAATTTGGTTCGTCAGGTTGGTGCTCATGCTTCAATGATGATGAGCCACAACACTCCAGGTGATAAAGAATGCCTCTCGTCTTTCCGGGGAAAGTAAGCATGACAAGGCAGGCATCTCAAGCGTATGACAGGGGGCTTCTTGAGGAGTGTTCTGGGGGGTTCTGCTAGAAGATGATAAGAGTAGGAAGCAGGACAAGACAGTGCTGTATGATGTGCACGGGATACAAGTAGAGTGTGATGACATATGACAGTAGTGTGTGCTCCGGAACAGTGGTACAGACACAGGCCGTTAAGCACTGCCTCGGCACAAGGCCAAGGCTTTGGAGTTCGTCTGTCGTGTTGCTACTTCACGCAACCTCGGTTGGATCACTGACTTTTGACATCAGTAGTGGCAAAATTCATCATCGTAGCATGCAAATAGCGCTCGCCAGGGATTCGGTGCCATGGGAGAGGAGAGGATAGATGGTGCCGAAGCAGGCAAGCGTGATGCCGATTCGGGTAGAAGGAACTTCAGGTTGCATTTTGCTCTCATAGCGGTGCAAGCAGCATTCTCTGGCTTCGAGGTCCTGTCGAGGCTAGCGCTGGACCGTGGAGCTGGCAAGTTTTCCTTCAGCTTCTACAGAAACTGCGTGGCTTTCGTGGTGTTGGCGATTGCGTCTTTGCTCCTGGAAAGGTTGGCAGAAAAAGCTTTGCCTTTCTCTGCGTGCTAGCTAACACTTTGTGCAGGAAGAAACTTGTGCCTTTAACGCTGGCGGCTGGGCTCAAGGTCTTCATGCTTGGATTGATAGGGTCGGTAACTTTCATCACCTTGACGATTTGTTATCTTTACTTGGATTTTTCAACAGGGTCACTATCAATCAGCTGTTGTACTTGACGGGACTTAGCTATACATCGGCAGTCTTTGCGTCGGCATTGAGAAATTGCATTCCAGTTTTCACCTTCTTGCTGGCTTTGGTTTCACGGTAATGTTGCAGCCTTTCGAGAGAAAATTGCTGATTAACTGGTTTTTTCTTTCTAGGAAGGAGAAACTGAATCTAAGAACGAGACACGGCCAGGCTAAGCTTCTCGGCTGTTCTCTTGGCGTGTGCGGTTCTGTTTTACTCTCGGTTTACAGGGGGCCAGTGTTGATCCGAAGTTCTTTGTCCTTGTTTCATGTCGATGGCTCACAACACTTTCGAGCGATAGATGTCACAAAGAAACAATATATACAGTTTCTGAAGTTCATCCGGGTGGAGATGGCATCCTGGACACTCGGAGCAGTGTGCTTGATCGGCTCTTGTCTGTCGTTCTCTAGTTTTCTCATCCTCCAGGTAAGCGACTGTTTTTCTTAGTTCACCCTTAGTGACGGAAACTCTTACGTTGTTCAGGTTTCTGTCCTCGCCAAAAATCCTGCTCCCATTACCTTCGCTAGTTTTTGCTGCTTGTCAAGCCTGGTGCAGTTCCCACTGCTGGCCTTGGTGTTTGACCCGAAGCACTGGTCGAGCTGGAAAAGAATCTCTTCAAGTGAAGCTTTGAGCATCGGTTATGCGGTATGTCCTTGGAATCTTTATCTTAGTGATTCTCGTAATTTTTTGTCCTTGGTTTCCTTTCAGGGTGCTATAGCATCAGGCTTTGTGTCCGCTGTTCAGTCGTGGGGAGTTCATCGAGGAGGCCCGGTGGTGGTAGCTGCCTATCAGCCTCTAGAAACAGTCATAACAGCGTTTCTCGGCTTGATTTTTCTACGAGAGAGCTTGCACCTTGGAAGGTCAGAGACTTTGCTAGAGATTTGCTGCCAAGCCTAAAATCTTTCTCTTCTTCCAGCCTTATTGGTGCGCTAGTCGTAGTGACCGGCCTCTATCTCCTCATCTGGGGCCAAGAAAAGGAGCACCAGCTCGTTGCTTCCGATCAAAGCAACTTACCATTCTCGATAACGAGAACCTTCGACATGCACAGCTCAAGCAGCAAGGTGTTTCCAGACAACGCGCCCTTCTCAATAACAAGATCATTCGACGCCTCAAACAATAGCTCGCGGAAGGTTTTCCCGGAGCCGCCGCTGACCACACTCTCGCGTCAAGATCAACCAGCTCTTGCGGAGATCACACCAGCAGTGACAGTGGCCGACATACTCGAAAACTCCAACAAGTGGAGAGTGTACACAGTAAACAATGCGTTCCAAGAAGCTGAAGAAGAAAATGTAAGCCATCGCGAGCGACCACTCTCGCAAGGACGATAGAAGGTACTTTAGAGTCACATCCTTTTCCTTGTAAGTTCTATAACTTGGATATGATCGATGCAGATATAGAGACAACACAGCCAGCCAAAGTTTTGTCAACAAGAATTAAATTCGATCCAAAGGATTATATTGTACAGACCGGAGAGGAAGAACTTTCTCAGAGCGTGTTCTGGGCGATGGCCTTGCACAGCTCTTCCTCGTTGAAGAGCACCCTGTGCGATGCCCCCGCTCGCGTCATCGGGACCCTTACGTTCGGAGGAAGCGGTTGGGACTGCGAGCCTTGGAAGAGCGTGGCAGCGATTTGCCTCATGTCGGCCATGGAGTACCTCGGCTTGGGGAATTTCTCGGCATGCTTTGGAGCGTTTGGCGTCGTAGAGATGCCAACAGCTGCGAATTCGCTGAAGAAAGAAAGGTGGTGACGAGAAGTGAGTTTTTCAGAGATTTTGTATTCTCGATCATGACTTACTTCAAAAATGGCAGGGCCTGGCCCAGTTTCGCATCCGAAACCGTCTTATGGTCCTTGCCAGGTGTGGTGAAATTAAAATGACACTGTTTCGCGATCATTACCTGGAAAAACCACGAGAATTGGAGGAAAGAAAATCATTAGCTTTCGTGCAAAGAAAAGCAACAGTTACGTACCGCCTGGCGGAGCGATCGGCAGACGTGGAACACGGGCTTGAGCTGGTTGTGATCGAGACGACAAACGATCCGGACCTGATGGAAACAAAAGCGTGATGACAAACAAAACAAAAAAACATTTTGGAACTTACCAACAACTCGGGCGGAAGAGTTTCCACCGATGACGAAGAGCTGCTCGGCTGCGCAGTTCCAGTCCCAGCGTCCCGGGACTGTTCTTCATTACTACTCCGAGCGGCTGGTGCTGGAACTTCTTCCACCACCATTGGAACAGCTTCGTTGGCGGCCGCCGGCTGGAGCGGTGGCAAGGCCAGGAACTTTGGAGCCAGGAGCTTCTTCCTCTGGAGGCAAGCCGGTCCCAGCCATCTGGGAGCTATCCCGGCGTGAGGAACTCTCTCGGGCGAGGCGCTTGCATGGCGGACTCCCCCATCGAAGAAGCGAGTGGAGCGCTCGGCGGCGTGGATGCCATCGCCCTCCGCCACCCTCTTACGTCCAGCCTTGTGCGCCGCGTCTCTCACCTTTGCCAGCGTCCCAGGCTTGAGATAGTTGTGGCGGCTCTTCCTCGGCGCCTGGCTCCTCGCCTTGCTACTCACCTCCGACGATGCGATCCCTCGCAGCCTCTTGTTGGCGTAGCTCTGATCCACCGGGAGCTCCACGCACACGAATTCGTCGTTTGGGCGATGGAAGGGCGAGGCGCGGGTCCTGGGCGGGCCGCCGCCGACACAGTTCTCCTTGTCTGAGAGCTTGCTGCTGCTGAGAGAGAGCAAAGAATCCGGCCTGCGAGGACGCGATCGCGCGGCGGCGGGGCTGGCATTGGGACTCGATGCTGCCGCGCGCTTCCTGTCAGACTCACCCAAGGCAATCCTCATCCTCTATCTCTCGCTCTCTGTGGAACCAGGAGAAAGCACACTGACTGACACAGCCGGGGAGAGCCTTGGATTTGGAACGACTAACGGAATGGAGAGGCGAGCGCCACGGACTCAGGCTGTGATCGTGGACAGGACCATGATTTTAGGGGAAAACAAGCAACGAGATAAGCAAAAAAGAAGCAATCCAGCTACCTCTCTCGCGCGATGCGCCTCTGACCCTACGGGCCGGGGAGGATTCCAATGCGCGAGCAAGAATCGCCCGCCCAGGAGACGAAGAACCCTACCTGGGATGGGGGCGAGGAGGAGGCTTTAGAGGGCTTCAAACTAAGCGAGGGAAATTTGTTCCTGCCACGTGCCACGCGCAGGACCGTTGGTTTCAGTGGCAGGCGATCCGCGCCGTCCGTGGGGGCGCGCTTCTCTTTGAATTGCAGCGGGAGAGCTTTCCCGCCGCCAATTCTATTACTGATAATAAAAAATGAAACTACTATGCAACAAAATCTTGATTTTGTTGCAGAGTTTATGATTTGGGAGAAAATTGTTGGTTTAATGTTGATATGATAGTTTAATCTCCTTTTGCCTGTATGAGGTTTTGAGCTTTCACTTTGACTAACGCAATGTTTTTATGACATTCCAGCTCCAAGAAGCTAGATGAATTAGAAGCACTCGCTAAATGTTCTTTGCCAAAGCTCAGAATCAGCCTGGCCAAAGGACATGTTCTTTGGCAGCAGTCATCCATTGTGAGAGAGGCAGTATAGCATATAGCATTTGTGCTTTGCAGACATTTAATTGAAACATTTCTAAAGTGCATTTCAATGAGATGTAGTAGCAAAAATAAACTGAAAGTAAAAATACTAGCCACTTGGAACTTGGAAGTTGGAACCCGGCAACCAACTCGCTGTGAATTTCTTTGTACTTGCTGAGCAGGCTGGAAGAAATTCCGATTTATGATCGAGAGCCCTGATCACAACATTCCAGATGCCTTTTGGAACCGGGAACTAGAAAAGCACTTATAGGCTTGCACGACCTCCTCGCACAGCCGCAGCTTTGTGCCAAAGCCATTTTTGTTCAAGTCTTTTCGCGTCCTTTGCTCTTTGCTTGTGAAACAGTTGGACATCTTGAACGAGTAGGAAGATTGGTTCTCCGGAGGTGAACTATGAGCATTAAGCTGAGCACGAAACGATCAGAACCCATCCTCCACCAGTATGAAATACCTCCGATACCTTTTGGGCCTCAGGTAGAAAAACGAGCGCTCGATCCCGATCGTGAGAAACTGGAACACAAAACCCTGAAGCTAGTAACCTCGAGAATACACTACTCCAATGAGAACTTGGATCTCTCCATGGAAACATGAATTTATCGAGCAGGAAATTGCAGCCTAAAACCAAATATATAGCTCTTCGTTTGCCGGAGTTTTCTCCTGGTACCCAGATTATCACACAGGCAATCTTTGAGAAAAACAAAGTACCGGCGATGCGATTGTTTCTAATGCCTCAGGTGATCTGTGCCGTCCGTGCGGCGGCTTCTACCACCCATTATATTGGATAGAAATGTGAATTAAAATGGAAATCTATAAATACCACCTTTAGCTATAATTAAAAAACAAAGAGGAAACCCCTTTACTGCCTGTCTGCATGCAACAAAAGATCCTATGGATTTGGGAGGAAATCGTTCGCCACCACCATCCTCGAAGAATTGTTTGAGATGCAATTCAATCTCCTGGAAATCGGTATTGCTACACAATCTTGCCGTTGATTCGTCAATTCCTCTGTTTGTTCCAGGCAAGATTGCATTGCGCGTTGATTCTTGCTCAAGCGGGCTTTGCTGGTTTCGAGATTTTGTCCCGAATCACTTTGGATCAAGGTGCCGGAAAGTTTGCATTCTCGTTCTATAGAAATTGTGTTGCAATGGTAGTTCTTGCGATTGGTGCTTACCTCTTCGAGCGCAGGTATGGTTTCTATGTATCGATTTCAAAACCATCCTGTGAATGTAGGAAGTGGAGAACGCTCACTTTGGTAGTGACAATCAACCTCTTTTTCTTAAGTTTGGCCGGGTAGGCTTTGCAGGGAAGATTCTGAGCCTAATTGACTTTATAATTTCTGAATGGTTACAGGGTTACACTCAACCAAGTCCTTTATCTTGCTGGACTGGAGTACACCTCTCCTGTTTTTGCATCAGCAATGAGGAATACAACACCAGTTCTCACATTTATACTTGCATGGATTTTCCGGTGGGTAATGTTTTTAATTCCAAGTTACTTTGGTGCCGAAGTTTACATTGTATTATAGGTTGGAAGTTGTAAGACTTAAAAGAGTTGATGGTGTGGCAAAGGTTATTGGGTGTTTGCTTGGGATTTTGGGATCTATTTTTCTGTCAGTCTATAGAGGTCCTATTGTTATTCAAAGCACATTTAAATTTCCAAATGTGAAGGAGAAAGGAGATAAGGGATTTTATAAACAAGTACATATTCAGTTTATTGGTTTGCTGGATGATATGGTACCTGCAAAAACTATTGGCTCTATTTATTTAATACTTTCATGTTTAGCATTTTCAGTATTTTTGATTTTTCAGGTAAGTAATTTTTAAAAAAATTTATATTCTAATTATTATCTATTACTACAGGCAAAACTTTTATTGAAATTTGAAGCTCCAATATCTTGTGCTGCATTTATGTGTTTATTCAGCACAACACAATTTTCATCATTGTTTTTCCTATTTGAACCCGAAAACTCAAAATGGAAAATTACAAAATCTGAAATTATTAGTATTTTTTATTCGGTAAGATTTTCTTATTATTATATATTATTTACATATATTTTATTTATGTTTTTAGGGATTTATAGCATCAGGTTTTGTTTCTGGGGTTCAATCATGGGCAATACATCAAGGAGGACCTGTTATTGTATCTACTTATCAACCATTAGAAACAACAATAACAGCAATACTTGGATTTTTTTTCCTTAAAGAAACACTTTATATGGGAAGGTAAATAATGATTTTAACTTTCTAAACTTAAATTTGTTACAGTATATTAGGAGGTATTATTGTAATACTTGGTCTTTATATGTTAATATGGGGACAATCACAACATCATAAATATTTGAAGCAGATTTCAAGTGTTCAAGAGAGTCAACAAAATATTGAATTACAAGAACCATCATCACAACAATCATCAATTGATTTTACGTAAGTTATCTATTTAGATTGTTATTTTCTATAATATTATGATTTTGTAGTGAGCAAGTACAAGAACAAGCACAAGCACGGCATTCTATCATCTCAATAGGTCCTATTATACCAATATCATAGCATATAAATAATGAACTTTATAATTTCATTAAAGAGTTTTGAAATGCTAGAAGTTTTTAAGGTGTCTATCTGAATTTTCAGGTATAGAACACTTACCACTGGAAATATATGACGGCCAACCATACCCACTACCACCTTAGATACATATTCCTTAAAAAGGGAAATTCATCCTATTAAAAAATTGTAGAAAAATAAAAATAAAAATAAGAAACTACTACACGTTTGTGTGCATGATAACATTGAGAAACAAGTTCCCAGGCTGGCATAAGTTTGACATTGGAAGAAGCCACGCAGCCCCTCATTTATTTTACTACACAAGAAAGGAGGGGTTCCTCGAGAGCACAAAATCCTCCTCATCTTGTGCTCTCACGACTGAAAACGACGGCTCTTTTTCTACAGCCAAAGCTTTTGATTCAAAATTGCTCACGACGTGCATGAGAGGCCCTGCGGATATATATAAAATCGCATCAATAGCAAAGCTTGCAATGCCGACTTACTTGCGCTTCGTAAGGGAGATACCGGCGTCTCTTTGATTGTGCAAACGGTCCATCCAACTTGGATCGCTCACGTAGTTCCTTTTTTACTTTGGTCGCTTTCCTGGAGCATATAAGCGACGCTGAGCTTGACTTGTTCCCGAGAGCGCAGGAACTTACAGTTTTGCGATCATCATCCTTTCTTCGACGCTCCTGTTGCGTGGTCAATCGGGAGAAAATGGAGAGAATCAAAGGATCTACTTGCCTGGTCTTGATGCTTGTCGCCGTGATAATGGTTGATCTGTGCCAAGCCCAGCTCTCCACCACTTTCTACTCCAAATCCTGCCCGAGAGTAAAGGCTATTGTCAAGGACGCAATGCAGAAGAAGTTCAGCGAGACCAGAGTTGTAGCCGCTGGAACACTCCGACTTTTCTTCCACGATTGCATGATAGAGGTCTGCTCCCAATTTCCAGTTCCTGGATTGTTCCTCTCAGCCCCGATTGTTCCTCCACTTGAATTTCCCAAGCTTTGCCTGCTGAATTGTTTAATTGCCGATAGCTGACCACAACTCCTGTCCAGGGATGCGATGGTTCAGTCATAATTGCCTCTACGAACACGAACAAAGCCGAGAAGGACGCAGACGACAATCTTTCGCTTCCTGGAGATGCCTTCGACGCTGTTTTCAGAGCTAAAGCCGCAGTCGAGAAGCAATGCCCGAACACAGTCTCCTGTGCTGACATCCTCACCATGGCCACCAGCGAACTTCTCCAGCTCGTAAGCATCAATCGATAAGTATACCGGCATCGCCTCACTGACACTTTCCCCTGTGCTTCAAAGATTGGAGGACGCGGCTGGGATGTAAGGCTTGGAAGAAAAGACGGCAGAGTGTCACTAGCTTCGAGAGTTCCCGGGAATTTGCCGAACGTAAACATGTCAGTTGCTCAGCTCACTTCATTCTTTAAAACTCGAGGATTCAGCCAAAGAGAATTGGTCGTCTTGTCCGGTAAGTTTTTGAAAACCGCCCCTGTGACCCTGTTAAATTCCCCTGTCCCGTGTTACGCATCTTCGATCATGCCTGTTCCTGATTTTCCTGTTCCTCCTTGTTTCCCTGACCAATTTTCCTCCACTGAGCAGGAGGCCACAGTGCTGGTTTTGCTCACTGCAACAAGTTCATGGACCGGATTTATGGCAGAATTGATCCAACCATGGATACCGGTTACGCCAGGGGTCTCAGAGGTACATGTCCCCAAAGGAATCTGGACCCGACTGTCGTTGCCAATCTCGACACCACCACTTCCACCACGTTTGACAATGTCTTCTACCAAAACCTCAAGAGCAAAAAGGGCCTTCTCCGCTCCGATCAAGTGCTATACACCGACCCGAACACTAAGAAAGTCGTGGACTCGTTTGCCTCCGACAACACTGCCTTTCTCATTGAGTTCGCCGCGGTCATGGACAAGTTGAGTGCCTTCAAGGTAAAGACAGGCTCTCAAGGTGAAATCCGGAAAAACTGCGGGGTGATCAATTAGTGGTACTGTCCAAAACTATGTACGGGGAAAATAATACCTGGATGATTTTTTTTTTATCTAGACAAGTTGATAATAACACTCGGTTCGCTTCTGTAACTTTCAGGTCATTAATCTGGAAGAAAAAGAAGAAAAAGAATCACTTAGCTCATATCCCATCGAATAGAAGCTTGTTCGCACGTGGTCAGGAGCGATTCCGTGTTCACAAACCGCCATCTCTCGTTGGTCGCTAGTCTTTCTCAAGACTACAGCTACGATTGTTCAGATCCTCTGGAAAAAATTCTCTCCACGCAAAGCTTATCTGGAGAGTTGACTTAAAATCATAAAGTAGCGAACGGGAAAAAAGACATACAGATCGCTATCACCTACACGACTGATCGAGACAAATGACGCTGGAAACTGGAGACCGAGACCCTCGCCATTGAAGAAGCAAGCACCGCGATTAAGATCCAAAGATCTAGCACACAGCACATAAACGCAGACACGCACGACGACCCACCACCGCAGAGACGTGTACATTTGTGAGAGATACTTCTGGAAAAAATGACTCTTTCCATACCGACATTTTGAAGAAAAACAGATCAATAGATGCCTAGCAATCAGCAACCATGTGCCTTCCATCCGCGTTCCTGGAGGAAGCAAACCAAACTGTAAACAAGCCGGGGAGAAACGCAACGGCGCAAAGTCCAAAACAGAAGAAACAAAACATACTTGTCGTGAATGTGGCCTCTTTTTTCGATCCATCTCGACCTTCTGCTTCTTCTCGTCCATCTCTGCCTTCCGGAGGCTTGGCCTGTATAGAAGGAGTACGTGACCGATCTTACCAACGACTTGGGCCTCTAAACCGTGCTCCAAGTCCAGCATAACTTGGCTTATATGTGTCGGACAATTGTCAAGGACCCTCACCTACAGTTATAAAAGCAGAGAAATGTGGTTGTCCATTGCAGAAAAAAAAGAAAGTATGGCAAACCTTCATAAGTTCGTTCTTCTCCAGAGCGTCGCCCAAACACTTGAGTGAGTTAGGAGTAACTCCCCACTTCCCTACCTGCACGAAAGCAAAGCGTTTCACAGTGAAGGAAAAAAAAAAAAAAAAAACTATATCTCAAGCAAAACAAAAAGCTTACGTGATGAAGCGCAATGGATTTTCCCAGCCGATGTGCATGTCCACGGAGCTCTTTCTTTTCTTTTTGACTCAATGGTGGAAATCTCGACTTCCATGGACCCGGTTTCTTCTTTTCGGTCCCAGTATCTTCGGCACTGATCCTTTTTATAATTTCCAACTCGCCCGGATCATCATCGTCATTGTCAGCAAATTTTTTTCTGGCTTCCAGAGAGTCACCCTCTTCTTCTTCTTCTTCTTCGTCATCATTTTCTTCCTCCTCTTCTTCGTCGAAATTCCCTTCTTCTTCGTCATCAAGCTCATCTTCCTCCTCGTCTTTTTCTTCTACTCGAAATATTTTCTCCTTCTTCGCCACAGCGCCAGTGCTCGCCATTCGCCGGAACGCCAAGCTCGACCATGCCGGAATGACCTGCTGCCGGGAGATTGATACCCTACACACCTGTGGCGGATAGATTCGAGCAGCGAGCCGATTGATCCTCCAAACCCGGCCCTTGAGCACTGGGAAGCACGTCGCGGCGACGCTGGATGCCACCTTCGCCATCGCTGCTGGCAATGTGGCTCCTCCTCCTCCACTCCGGCTCCAAATCATCCCTGCATTGGGAGGGAAAACGCTAAAACCCTGGAAGGGCTCAATTAGGGCGCCTGGGGATCTTTATATTTTAGGGCTCCTCCCTGGAACCCTAAAAAACAGGGATCTTTTTCTCTTCGTGTTTTCCGCCATGGCATTGGGACTCGTTGCTCGGGCGGCGCTCCTCGTTTCTACTCTGGGTGCGCTGGCTTTCATCCTGGGGATCATGGCCGAGAACAAGAAGGTATTGTGAAATTGCGTGATTCTTAGCTCTAGGCATTGAAATTCCGGCTTGATTTGCAGCCCGAAAGCGTGGCAAGCACGACAGTGAACGGCATCACGATCTGCCATTACCCTAGCGATGCGAGCATCTCGCTGGGAGCCGCGGCAGTGGCGGTGCTCTTCGTCACGACCTGCGTAGCTCTCGTTGCCTTGTTCTTTCCCTACGACGGGAAGCACATTCCTCACGGTGTTCTCTGGAAGAACGCCGCGTTTACAACATTCTTCGTGCTCAGCCTGTAAGTTCCTCTTCATTCCTGTCCTCTTTCCTTGTTCATTCAGGTAGAAGTGGCAGAATCCGCGGATCTCATGGACTTATAGTTCATTTCTTCGTTCTTTTGTTGTCAGATCTTTTATAGAGTTCCTAGTTTGAAGGATCTCATGAAAGCTCGTTTTTTTGTTTCGCAGAGCTGTCTATCTCACGGCCGAGGGGCTCCTGCTGTGGACTACGATCAGCGAGAGCATGCATCACAAGCAAAACAAGCACTATCACTTGGCAGCCGACGGGTGCCCGACGGCAAAGACTGGCCTTTTCGGTGGAGCGGCGTTTTTGGCTCTGGACAGCACCCTCTTCTGGCTCATTTGTCTCATGCTCCTGGGAAACGCTCGCGAGGATCACTTCGGGATGGAGGATGAGGCCTCCATGAAGGGAATCTACGCGGAAATCCCTCACGACTCCACCGTCATCCCTCCCGCGAACAAGGTCTGATCTGAAACAGCGAAGTTTTACCCTGGCCTCCCGCAAGTATCTTCCCTCCTGAAAGTAGGCCAGTTATGGAATATACAACCATTGACAGACTGCTTACCATTCTCTCTTGAGCGTTGTCGCATTTGCTTTGTTTTTATGTTTGATTCTCATTCTCTTTTGGCTGGCTTTGTTTTGCAATGTCGTTGAGCGCGATCAAGAGAATCAAGAGGTAAATGCTCTCCTTGGTTAAGTTTGTTGACCAAAACTTGTTTTTTGTAGGTACAGATGTGACAAGCCAAGCGTCACTCACTCACGAGATTGGATTTTCTGTCCATCCCTCTTTCTTTTTCCGTTGCAGAGAGATGGACCTATATAGTGAACACATCATCACCGGCGCATATTGAGAAGTTCCATCGATATGAAGGTGATGGTTGTAGTTTCAAGTTCCAGCTATTGAAGGTTTAACCGAAGCGGTACAAGAATTTCTTCAATCATCTCGCAGCTCAACGAAGCGGACGAAGCGGTGCAACCGCAGCAGCATTCAGTACTTTCGATTCTTACCATCAATGCGGGGATCGTGAGGAGCATTGGAGTGTCAACCACTATTTACTTCTCCGGAATATTTTTGGAGTTATCAGAGAAGATCCTTCTCCTTGCTGGAGTAGAGCAGAGGTCGCTGGCCTGGCGTTTATAGCGCGCCGGTCTTTCTTCCAATCCAGCGGAACAACGGAAGCTGGAGCTATGTCTTCCGCCACTGCTACTGGCTGCGCTGTTGAAGATGGCGATGAGATTTCCAAGCTCTTGAGCTTCACTCATCCGGAGCTCCGGGGCGGAAGCAGGCCTTTGAAGCACAGCTTCTCGCCGAGGCAGATGAAAGTTCTTAACGCCATTTGTGACACTCTGGTGCCGTCGCTGCCCGTGGAAGCGAGCAAGCAAGACAATTCAGCCAAAGCGAAGTTTTTCGAGCTCTCAGCGTCCGAGTCAGGCATCGTTCCGGAGGTAAAATAACTTTTTCTGTTTCTTATGAAGCGCAGATTTGATTTCGACGTTTGACAACAGGTCGCTGGGATGATCTGCGCGTGGACGACTGCTCAGCAGTACTTTCTGATCTACATAGCTTTCCTGATGCTGTCCACTCGCCTGGGGACTCTTCTACTTGCGGGCTTCAGCTGCGTCACCACAGAGTTCCCGTTCGTGCAGCCTTTTCCCCTCCTGGAGCTCGGAAAACGCGAGAAGATCCTCCTCACCTGGTCTCGAAGCATCTTTCACAAGCTCCAGATGCTCTTCAAAGTCGTCAAGTGCTACACCCTCTTCAAGTTCTATTCCAGGGTCATGACACTGGTTTTCTTTCTACATCCTTGCTGATCCTTTCTTCTCCAGGCTGACAAGAAGGGACGAAACCCCGCGTGGAAGGCCATTGGCTACGAGGTCCCGGAGCCAGTCCTGGAACACCAAGAGCCGCTTCCAAGCCCTCTGGAGCGCAGGCTCGTGGATGCCAAAGCTCCAGACTTCCAGTCCCGGCTGGCGGAGCTGGGCTGCGCAATGCTGGACAACGTCGACCATCTAGAGGAAAGAAACGATCCTTCTACCGCCAGCGGCAAGGACTTCGGGATAAAATGCGACGTGGTGGTGGTAGGCTCTGGTTCCGGAGGCTCCGTCATAGCCGCGAGGCTCGCGCAGCAGGGATTCAAGGTGGTGGTGCTAGAGAAAGGTGGCTACTTTCCACGCCGGGGCCTCTCGCTGCTCGAAGGTCCGTCCATGAAGGCCATGTACGAGCAAAGTGGAGCTCTCACAACGGAGGATGGCTCGGTGATTCTCCTGGCCGGGACAACTCTAGGCGGGGGCTCGGCCGTCAACTGGGCCGCATCGCTCAAAACTCCAAAACACGTGCTGGACGAGTGGACGTCCCTGGGGCTGGAGGACCGTTTCGGGGGGCCCGAGTACCAGCACGCGATGGAGGCCGTCTGCCAGAGGCTTGGCGTCCAGGACGTCTGTACGGAAGAGAGCTTCCAGAACCGGGTGCTGCGGCGGGGCTGTACGAAGAAGGGATATTCCGTGGGGGACATCCCGCGGAACGCCGCGCGGGATCATGGCTGCGGCTTCTGCGGGTTCGGCTGCCCGGCGGCCGCCGCGGTGAGGAAGCAATCGGCGTGTGACACATGGCTCTGCGACGCCGCCACGGCGGGCGCTGTGGTTGTGACGGGCTGCCGGGTGGACCGCATTCTCACCGCGCCGCAGGGTGGGCAGGGGGAGAGGTCGTACAGGGCCCGGGGTATATCCTCTCGGGCGGGGGAGGCTCGCTTCTACGTGGAGTCGCGCGTCACGGTGGCGGCGTGCGGCGCGCTCTTCACTCCGCCGCTGCTCCGCCGGAGCGGCGGACGGAACCCCCACATTGGCCGCCACCTGTCGGTGCACCCGGTGGTAGCGGCGTGGGGCTACTTCCCGCGGGAGGATATTCTGCCGGGCAACAGCTACACGGGCGGGATCATGACTGCCTTCTCCAGCGAGGCGGCGCGGTGGGACACCACGGGGTACGGCAGCATTCTAGAGACGCCATGTGTACACCCTGGCAATTATGCAGTGCTGGCGCCCTGGAGATCCGGCGTGGATGCCAAGCGCCAGATGCTCAGATTCCCGCGGACGGCCACGATCATCGTCCTCAACCGCGACCGGGGCAGGGGGACCGTCGATGAGACGCCCGGCGGGAAGCTCATTTTGGAATATCCGCTCTGCTTCTCGGACAGGGAGAGCCTCGTGGAGGGGACCGAGCTCGCGGTGAGGGCGCTGGTGGCGGCCGGGGCGGAGGCGGTGGGATTACACTCCGTTGCTGGCGAGATCTTCTCGGTGGATCAATCTTGGACGCCTCTGCAGCGGGAGAAGGAACTGGAGATTTTCTTGAAGCGAGTGCTGGGGAGAATGTTTCAGAGGCTGTCCACGCCGATCATATCTGCCCATCAGATGGGAAGCTGCCGGATGGGCACAGATCAGCGCTGCTCGGTGGTAGATCCCAATTGCGAGAGCTGGGAGGTGGAGGGGCTGTTTGTGGGCGATGGTAGCGTCTTGCCCACTGCGTCGGGAGTGAATCCCATGATCACGATCCAGTCGATCGCTCATTCCACCGCCACTCGCATCGCAAGATCTCTAGCAGCACGATGAAGAAGCCAAGTCACGCGGAAGTCAGCACTCCTCGCAATGGGTGCCTCGTTTTCTTCGCGATTAAAATGCCTCACACCGATCACGCGGAGGATAGGACAATTGTTATTTAATCAGGATGATATTTTTCAATCAAGCTGCCAAACACCATGGATCTGCTGAAATGGAACTTTACATTGTTTGGGACACACAAATAGAGATCCTTCACAAAGGTTTCATTGCTGCCGTTGCATTCCTGGGGCACCTCGCAAATCCGAATTGTTGGAGCATATTAATCTGTGGATCCAGCAGCAGCTGCAAAGAGGCGAAGTTATTGAGGAGCTTTTTCTCGCGGAACTCCTTTGCAAAGAATATTAGATGATCATGCTTGAGCCCGAGGAATCAACATCGCCATCATTGAGGACGATTCCCAATGCCATCTCGGCTCGAGGAAGGCATCCGGCCTCCTGCGAGCCAAATATCCCTCCACCAGCCCAGTCGTCTGCAAGCGTGGTGATGAGCTTGTGGTCGGGATGGCAGGCGTTATTGGAAGGAATTATTAAAACTCTTTCAGGGCCAAGAGGTGCTCTATAGCTGGAAGTTTGTCCAAGATGATTGTCCTGCTATTGCAATGGGCTAGCAAGTAGCCAGTGGATGAAAGGAGTATCAATTTTTTAGTCTGGCCAGATCCCAGGTGGAGTTTGTTATATATACATGTGTTCTATATACATATTACTTTGTCTAAGTAATACTTTAATTATAATATTATAGTATATGAACCATTCATTTAAGATTGAATTTGGTCTAATTCCCATCCGCATTCACCCATATATATATATATATATATATATATATATATATATATATATATATATATATATATATATATATATATATATATATATATATATATATATATATATATATATATATATATATATATATATATATATATATATATATATATATATATATATGTATATATATATGTATGTATGTATATATATATGTATGTATATATATATGTATATGTATATGTATGTATATGTATATGTATATGTATATATGTATATGTATATGTATATGTATATGTATATGTATATGTATATATGTATATATATATATAGGTTATGATGCTATATACTAAAATTAGCATAATGGGATTTTGGTTTAGATATAACTTTTGCATTATCTAAATCTCCTTTTCCTTATAACTTCTTTTCTTTTGTTTTTTTCTTTTTATTCATTTTTATGGTAGAGCAATAACCTTTTCCTCCTTTGACTTTGGAGAAATAATTGGTGTAGTTGCTTGATGCTATGTGGTTGCAGTTGAATTATTGAACTTAGTTGCTAATAGCATTCACAATGTATAGTATAACTCCTCTTGCTCTTGCTACCAATCCTCATATCTAACCAAAGTTCTTCCATGGGAATCCTAGGGATGATATATACCATAGGTTTAACTACTTTACAGTAACTGTTACATATTATTTTTGGGATGATACTCGGCATTTGTGTGAGTTTCCCACATGTCTCCAAGGGATGACACTATAGTGGTACAATGGTTTGAGTGCAGCCATTCCCAAACATCTTCAAATGCACATTTAAATATGTTGATGATTGTGATAATGCCTTCTAACAATTATATCATCTTTGTCAAGAGCTATCTGAGTTAGTGATACAATTTAGCATTTGTTTCCAAAGCCTTTTGCTTCGTGTGGAGATAAATATGTTAAAGTGAATCAAGTTAAGAATATTGTGGCTAGCACTTTATCAAAATTTTGTAGAATTTATGTATACACTTGCTCCAACCACCTTTGATGATGCTCGTTGTTTGACAAAATATTATGAGACATTGTTTCTTCCACTTCTCACTACACTTCCTTGAGTTTCACTTTTTATGAGAGATGGTTTTATTCTAATGGAGGTTGATGTTGCTGCTACCCGAGTTTAAGGATAAGGGCAAGAACATAGTTATGGCTATGATGTCTACTATTATATGAGTGATGAAGTTAATCACACTTATCAGCATTATTGGCATTTTCCGGATTGGCAATCTCTATTTTCTAGGTGGAAACCTTGGCATCAATAACGTCCTATTGGTGTTATTATAGTGGAAGGTCTAAATACTAAAATGTTTTTAGGAAATGAGGAGTCACATGAGTAGTGGAGAGTCTTGTGTAAATAAGTCATTGACCCCTCTATCTTTCTTTTAAGAGTATCATTAAGGGGTTCATTCGGTACCTTACTTTCCAAACTTGTTTTTATAACAAAAGGTTTTTTATTATTTTCTCTGTGTTGGTTGATATAGGATTGATTTTATCTTTTATTGCTCAGTCTATTACTATATATTGTTGTTTACATTTGTGTCATGCAGCAGAGTCAGTTTTCATTTTTTATGGCAATGGCTATACATGTGCATATGTATAAGATAAGGCAAACCTAATTGTGTATGTGCATGATCTTAAGCTTGAATTGTAATCATTGTGAGTAGTGCCGAGTCAAGTTTTTTACTTTATCCTTAGTATAAATTGGTTGTAGCGCAATCATGCCAAATGTGACTTTAAAGTTTCTTTCCTTTATCTCATATTTCTTTATATTTCTTCTATTCCTTTTACTTTTGTTCGTTTTTGTTCCTTTGCTTCTACTTTTATTTCTATCACTTTTGTCTCCCCATTACTTCCTCCTATGTTTCTATTTTACTTCTCTATTCCCTTTTCTGATCCCTTCAATAGTCTTTGTGTTGCAGCAGTTGATTAACTCATGAAGGAGCATATTGATCTCTTTGAATTTAACCTATCATCTAGGGCCAAGATTACAACATGTCATCCTATTTCAATTAGAGGTGCTTATTTAATCAAGGTTTCTACTCATTATCAATCGCCCAAGGAGATCAAGATTTTACATATAAACATCAAGGAAATGTTGGAGAAGGTGTTATTTGAAATTCACAAAGTCCTTGAGTGTGTAAACCTCATTTTATCATGAAGTTTGATAAAAGTATTCATTTTTGCATCAATTATCAACCATTAAACAAAATGACTATCCCAAATGAGTATCTTCTTCTTCATACTAATTTTCTAGATCATTTGGGGAGAAATCATTGGTTCATCAAGTTATATTTTGCTTTTGGGTATTGGCAAGTATCAATTGTTGACAAAAATGTTCCCAAGATAACTTTTGTATAAATTCTTGGTGATGTTGTTCCGTTTGAACAATGTTTTAGTGACTTTCTAGTGGATGATGGATGAGGTTCTTTATGATATACCAGAGGTGACTATTGACTTTATTAATGATGTTTTGATCCACTCAAAGGGGTTGTAGAAGGAGCATATTCATGATGTTCAAAAGGTGTTGAATTGGTTATAGGAAGTTGGTTTAAAGTTAAAATGATTAAAATGCATATTTAGGTCTAAGAACACAATTTATCTTAGGTACCATATTCCTTATAAAAATTTGTAAGTTAATGTTGACAAACTTATGGTTATTTTAAAGTTCCCTACTCTAAAGTGTGTGAATAATATGTTACACTTCCTAAGCAAGATGCAATATCTCAATTTTTTTATTAATAATCTTTTTGATTGCCTGATACTGTTGTGAGTATTGTTAAAGTTAACATCATTTTTTATCTAGTCTAAAGGCTACATATAGACATTTATAGATTTCAAAGAGTTATTAATAACTCCTCTAGTTTTGGTGTATTCTAACTACAATTAACCTTTCATTTTGCATGTGGATGCTTCTATTATCAGTCTTGAAACTATATTGATACAAGAGAGCCTAAATGTGCTTGGTCAAAGCCATCCCATTGCATACATCAGCTATACATTATAATCAGTGGAGGTGCACTATTCCACAATAAAGAAGGAGTGTATATCAGTAGTTTACGGTTTTGAGAAATTTCATACATATCTATATAGCACTCAGACATTATTAGAAGTTACAATTATTTTATTATTGAAGCAAATGAACTTAGTTAGTTGTATTGTTGGCTTTGAAGCTTCAAATGTATGATTTTGATATTGTTCATCAGTCGGGGAGTTTTATAGTTGATATTGATACCCATTCTCGAACTCTTATTCCTTCTTCACTCTCTTCACATATTTTTGACAAAGCTATTATTCTAGAATCTTTAGATTTTTAGGAGGAAGATTTCATACCATTGGCAGTTGTTGTACTTCATGTTTAGTGTAAATAAGATGCAAAACAAATTTACCTTCTCTTGATAAAGTTCATGAGGCTTAAAAAGTTGAGCCATGGATTTAAAAGTTTTGTGATGGGTTTGAGAATTTTGTATCACGTGCTGATAACTTGCCATTTTGGCATTTACATTCTCAATATTGTTTTGAGGAAGACTTTTTTTATTTTATGGGGATGGATCTTGATTATCATTTATGGCTAGTGGTGCCTTCAATATTTATTCCATGCTTTCTCCATGCCTACCATAATTTTTTTATTCTAGGTGGCTATATGGGACATTGTTATATGATTGAGAAGCTATATAGGTCTTTTTATTAGCCAAAGATGCAACATAATATTATCAAGTATGTGAGTAATTGTATTTGATGCCAAGTTTATAATACTCCCCCTTGTGCTGCGAAAAGATAGTTGAAGTTAATTGTAGTTTCCTATTTGTTTGAGTTCGTGGTATTTGATTTAATAGGGCCTTTTCCACGGTCAACTATTGGCAATAAGTATATCATTATTACTTCTGATTACTTGACTCACTAGGTAGAAGTTAATGCTTTTACAAGTGTATCTATAGCTACTATTTGATACTTCATCTTCAATCGAGTGATGTTTCAATATCTTTGTTCAAAACAAATTCTCTCAGATAATAGTTTCACATTTATAGATTACATCAAGACCAGTTTGGGCTGCGCGACCGCCACATTTTCACAGGGGTATATCATCCACAAATGGATGGTTTAGTGGAACAGTTTGTTTAGACCTTCAAAGGGATAATCATGAAGTACGTGAACTTTTAGTATTTAGATTAGGATGGTTATTTGTCATCTCTTTGGTATACATATATCATAAGGGAGCAGAATTCTATTGGTGCTTCACTATATAAACTCTTATATGGTCATAATTTTATATTACCAACATAGTTGAGTTTACCTTTGCGATTGTTATGAGCTGTTGGTATTAGGTTCTAGGATCAATATTTGGTGAGCATTCTTCCACTAGTCTGAGTAAAGTTTATTGAACACTTGGGCCGCATACAAGTGGGACAACAATGA